TCACAGTTCAGGTGTTCTCTGTTCAGCTTGTGAAGTCTCTCAACTTGTTCTCTAGATAGGTCTTGAGAACAGATCATCAGAATCTCTCATAATCATTCTCTAGATGATTCAGCCAGTTCTTGACTTCAGTGTAATAGAGGCCTGTCATTATATAGATGATAGCTTCTTTATCTTTCATATCACACAGCTGAGCTTGTGAGTCAATTTTAAATACAAACTTATAAAAGCTTTTATAGATTGTGATTTGATAGATGATCTTAAGTGATTGCAGCTTAAGAAAGTTTCTTTTCAGTTTGTGAGTATCTCTGAAGATCATGTCTAGAGACTCAGTTCAAGAGTGTTTGCAGATAGTAAGCATTTCTTATAGAAAAATAGCTTAGTCTCACAGAAGATGCTCAAGAATGTTCTTCACTGAGATTGATTTATTCATGAATTCAGAGAGTTTCTCTGTCTGAGATGTAGAGAATAGTGTTCTGTGAGTGATTGATGAGTTCTCTGAGACTTCTTTCATAGAGATTATTCATAATTCAGATGACTGCTTCTGAGTGTCTGCAGTAGAGTTCACAGAGGTGAGAGCATGCAAGTTTCTAGTTCTTTCAGTCATAATGAGTAGTTACTGACTGACTGAGCTTGAAATATAAGAATAAGTGCTCATAGGTGATTATTCAGGTGTTTGCAGCTTGGCATGATATGTACTGTTAACTACTAGAAGTATTCACATTAGAAAGATAGAATGTAGAGATCAAATGTATAATAGCATTCAAGCTGAGTTGTGAATAGTATTCGCGAACTTCAGTCTATATAGTGATGTGTAGTCAAGGGCCGCTAGCTCTATTAGTTATGTGAGAGATAGGAATAGAGGTAAAGGATTCGCAAGAAGCGGGATTTCTTACAGTAATTGTATCAGAGCCTCTTCACATAGTATATATTTTAAATATATAATAGAGCTGAAATTCAATAACAGATAATAATTTTAAGAGATCAGAGTTAGAAGTAGTAGTATTTTTCAGAAACATTTCACACTTTTTAAAATGAGTTAGTAACTTCTCATTAATTTTTTTTCTAAAATATTTTACTTTGCAGTCTGTGACTATAACAGCAGATGAGAGAGAAGTGTTTTTAACTGATATTTATACAGAGAGAAATTTCTTCTGCAGAAGTGCAGAAATTAACAAATAATTAACTTAAGTGAAATTATCTGCAGTCAGTGTGTAATATATATTAATTGTGTTGCAATTATCAAACACAGAGCTTACTAATTATAATAATGTGATATTTTTATTGAATTTCACACTGTTGAATAGAATAACTTTATCTTTTACAAAGTTTCATATTCTATATATTATTTCACTGTAATATTCATTCAAAATTATTTATTTACTGTATTTAGCAAACTTATTATATTCTTTTCAAAAAGTTTTTTTGAAAATATAAACAGATGATTCAATTACTCATAAGTCACTGCTGTGCAGAAATAGCTTGTCTTTTCATACTTTATAAAAAGTTAATGAGATTCAGTTATTCAATTGAACAGTGTTCAAGAATAAGAGAATGCTTATTAAAACTATATTAATATATAGTATCACTGTAAACACAGTCTCTGCTTATAGCTTAACTGATAAATCTACTTGTATTATTATAAAACAAGCTTTTGAAATAACTGTTTGAATAAACTGTTCTACTACACTATTTTAATTGAGAGCATAGAGCTTCATTGACTCTTATTTAACATTAAATTCAGTGAGAACTGCTTGTATCTATTAATCACTTATTTCAACAGTTCTGTTAAAACATATAAATACAACTTTTATACTCAGATTCTGAAGATGTTTAAAATGAAAATCTGTAAGAATAAGTGCTCACAGGCGATTATTCGGGTGTTTGCAGCTTGGCGTGATATGTATGATTAACTACTAGAAGTATTCATGGTAGAAAGATAAAATGTAGAGATCAAATGTATAATAGCATTCAAGCTCAGTTGTGAATAGTATTCGCGAATTTCAGTCTATATAGTGATGTGTAGCTAAGAGCTGCTAGCTCTATTAATTATTTGAGAGATAGAAATAGAGATAAAGAATCTGCAAGAAGTGAAATTTCTTACATATCTCTTCCTCTCTAAGGCTTTGTCTGTGAAGCCTTTCACTGAGTGACTTCATAGAATCAGCTCAGCACTGCAGTGATACTCACTAAAAACTCTTTATATCTATAAAAAACCTCAGTGAGGAAAAATCCCTTATTACTGTGAAGAAAAAAGAGTCTATCACTCAGTTTCTTATTTTATGAGATTCTTTATGACCTACAGATTCTTCTCTGACTATTATACAGATTCATCTCACATCTTTCATACAGAAGGATTTCAGTTAACTCTTAATTATTTTCATGAGATTCTTGTATAATCATTATATAGATTTATCTTACAGGTAAATCACTCTCTGTGAGATCATTCTCATTAAAGAGAAATATTCACAAGTTGATTTTTCACTCATTCTCATGAATCATTGTTCTTTGACACTGTAGAATTGTGAGGAATTTTCCATTCTTTCATCAATTCTGTAGAATTGTAGAATCAAGATATTCACAGTCTGTAATCACTCTTTGTAGTCACATAGAAAGATTCAGGTCTGTGATTCACAATTACTCTTGTTTACTAGAGTGATCTGACTGTTCTGTAGAATCACTCACAGTGTAAGCAAACCTCTCTAAAGTAGTATAAATATCCCAGATTAGACTGACCGTGTGACCGTGTCTGAGACCAGAACCAAACTTTACAGTTGTCATATTGCCTAAAAGCATTACTTCTGATCATGATTTGTGTTCATCACATTGATTTCAAATCACATTATTTCAAATATTAAAGATCTCAGATTTACTTTTCAAATAAAAATCTAGTTCTGAATAAAGAATATGTTTGAATTCTTAGTCACATTTTCATTCTGATCTTATTATTAAGAATAGCATTAAATGAGACTATGAAATCACTTCTCACTTATATAATATCATAACATAGTGCTCATTTGTTGAAAATTCAATAGAGAGTATTATCAAATATCATTACTTTTCTGAACACAGATCATAATTTGTATAATTTTAATTATGAAAAAAACATAAAATATAAAAAAAAATAAAAAACAAAAAACAAAACAAACACAAGAAAAAATCACATTAAAAAAAAAAAGAAAAGAAAAAGAAAAAAATAAAAAATAAAAATAAAAAAATAAAAAATAAAAACAAAAAAAATCAAGATCACAGAGCTGCAGCATTCTTAAAATACTCACTTCTCAGAGTCTTTACAATGTTCATTATGAACTGTATATTTCTCACAGTGAGAATAACACAGCTGTGATGAGTCATTGTCTTAATACTATCTAATAAATAATCAGTATATATCTGTATAAATGTGAATAATTAGAAAACATACACTTAAAAAGTGTGGTCAGAGTGAACTCTACTGTCACTTGAATAACATCAAGAACAGAATGCTGGAATCAATGATTCTTCTCATTGATTTCACAGACAAGGCATGTGAAGATGATCTTGAGAAATATAAGATTTCTCAACTTCTGATAAAAACAGATCTCATAAAGAGACTCTATTTTCATGATATCAGAGACTGAGTGTTATCAAAAAGTGTTACTTTCATGCAATGTACATGTACTTACTGCAGTGATCCACTCTCTGTACATGTGGCTGAGAATTGCAGCTTTCTCACGCTGCACAGCTCTCTCTGAAATGCTGCTGTCAGTTTGCAACTCACATAGCCTCTCAGTTCAGCATGCACTGTGTATATACAGCTCTACATACTGGGGCTGTGTTGGTCATTATGGCCTGGCGTGGTACTCACTTTTTGCGAGCCATGTTTTGTTTGAGAGAAGAGGGAGGGAAGATGCAACTGTTGTTTTATTGAGAGAAGAATGAATAATTAGTATTATTGAATTAATTTGATTCATCTGCATTTAAAATTTGATTAGTTTATACTCTTCAATTTGAGGGTTTCTATGAGTGTTTTAATAGTTTTCATATCAGCTTGAACTTAGTGATGGATTGAAGAAGAAGAGAAAAGAGAGAAGAAAGAAATGAGAATAACTTATCTTTATAATATGAAAATAGAGAATTGCTGCAATCATTCTTTCTAGCAATAAAGATCTGTTTTCTGCATGTATCTCTGATATAGATTATATGATAAATGCATACAAAGAATATCAATAGTACATGTATTGAATGAAGATAATGTTGCTATATAACACTGTAGCTGTTTCTGTACATCTCTGAAAGCTGTTAATAGTTTCTTTGTCTCTTTATGTTTGATAAGTCAATAATATATTCTAATGCACTTTCTCTTTCATCATCATCATCATCACTATCATTATTATTATTATCATCATCATTATCATCATTATTATCATCATCATCATCATTATTATTATATCATTGCCTGCCTTCACTCTCTCTCTTAACACTCATTAAAACTAATCATGTCATCTCTCTTCAAATATTCTGCAGTTCTGCGGACCACCAAGGCGCGTGAGCACTGTCACAGATTGAAGAGAGAGAAGAAGAAGATGTTCAAGCACGGGGAGACAGATTGTAAGACATGTTATAATGCCTTGAAGAGGCTCTGTAAGAGAGCAGAATGATAATGATTTTAAGTAACACTTCTGATAGATTTAGACTGAACTAAGTATAGAAATAATACAGATGATGCTGTCTGTGAGAGATTGAAAAAGAAGATAGTGAAGAGCCTCATGCAGTAGTGATGAGATCAGGAGAAGTTCTGAGAATGATTTAAGATTAAGATGAAGAGAGAGAGAGAGAAAAAGAGTATTACTGTAAATAAGTAACAGCAGAAGAAGATTGAGAAGATATTGAAGTAAGAGATAAAGAAGTCAAAACTGATAAGTTTTTTATTGAGAGATAACAATTTTTGATAATGCTTCTGTTCTCTAATTGATTAGCAGAAGCTGACAGAGAAGAAGGGGATTGAGGCCTTGTTCAGATCTCAAATGCACTTCATGATTCAGAACATTGAGAAGACAGCCCTGCTCTCTGAGCATGTCAATCTGCTTATCACTGAGATGGAACCCGAGGCAGCAGACCAGGAAATGTGGGATTTTGAGGTACAGGTTGACCTGGCTGAGAGAGAGCAGTGAGAACCCTTCTCTGAGAAGACAGTGAAGAGAGATTTTGAGATGATTATCATCTCAGATGAGAAGAAGGAGAAGAAGAAGAAGAAGAAGAAGAAGAAGAATGAGAAGTGAATTATAAAGAATAATAAGAAGAATGAGAAAGAGAAGAAGTAGATTTTTTTCTTTTTATATTAATTAGTTGTAAGTTTAAGTTTTTAATTATTAATAATTAAAATTGATTTTGAGTTTTCAAAAATTATTGTACAAGTTGTAATCAAGTCAGGAATGATATATATATATATATATATTTAACTATCATGATTCACAAATCACTATAATATATAAGTATCAACATTTTTTCAACATTAATATTCACAATATTAATATATTTTTAATAATATCATCTGATAATGTAATTTAATAATACTCTCTTTCACAATATTAATATATTTCAAGAAATATGACAGAGATTAATCAAGATTATTTATTTACTTTTATACATCAATGATATTCAATCTGAGTTAGTACTAAAATTATAACTAAGTTAAGAAACAAGATTATTTTCTCTTATATTAATTCTTCTTACACACATCAGTGATCAGTTATTGAAAATAAATTATCATCTTTCTCAAATTATTATCATATCTTCTGAATTCACTTCTTTCATTTCTTTTACTTCTATTGAAAATTCATAAACTCTTCAAGAAATCACTGTGAATCACAAAGTCTATGTTATTTATAATTCAATACAGGATACTCTCTTTCAATCATGATAAATGATCACTTCATTCTTCACATCTGATTCCAGGCCATGAAATTTATGAAAAACTCAACACAAACATTGAGATGAACTATGGAATAATTATCAACAGATTGCATTGCAGATTACTGAAGAGTCATCTCTTTGCTGCAATTACTGTAACTTCATTCAGAAACATTTATCATGAACTGATCATGACTCTGAAGAAATTTCCTGACATCTGAAGTCATCAGAATGCAGATAATAAAAGAAAAATAATCAGAAAATTACTACTGAGCTGATAAGTTACTCTATCAGATAACAATTTTTGATAACACTAACTTTCTAATTTGAAGAAAATCATGTGAAAACAACTCTGTATCAGTACTCTGATTTCACAACTCTCATCTGATAACTTCTGTGAATAATTACTTTACATATGTATATCTCTGAATCTTTCTCTTCAATCAATTGAAAACTCTGAATTCTGAACACTTCTTCAAATACTTAATTCAAATCTTCATATTCCACATTGATTCTGTCTTCAGTTCAATCTCAAGATATACTACAAAGTTAATATGCAACATCTAGAATCAGAGTTGAAGAATCATTAAAGAGTGTCTCTCACAGTGAATGCATGAACTAGTACAAATAATCTTGCATTTATAAGAGTTACATGTTATTACATTGATGAGAACTGAACTTATTGAGAGACATTAATTGAATTTGAATCATTGATCAGTAGTCATACTGAGGATTATATGACAGAGATATTAATAACTGTGATTAAAAATGACTATTGAGATATTAGTCCTAGTCTTCTTACAATTACAACTGATAATACTGTGAATAACTACACTATGATGAAGAGCTTGAAGCAAAAATTGGCTTTGCATTCCTGAAATGATAAATAAGATCATATTTCCTGCATTGCTCATGTGGTTCAACTTGTGATACAAACACTGATAAAGAATCTTAACATCAAGATGAAGAATAATGAGATGACTGGTTCTTGAAATGAGAATGAGATGAAAGTGATTACTCAAGTAACTTTTACATTTACTTTGCAAAAGATAATGTTTTTTGACAACACTTTTTAATATTGCTTTTTGATAATGCTTTTTGATAATGCTACTGTTAATCTTGAATAGATTGACTAATAATTTAAATATCATAGATTTGAAACATTGCTAATGTGATTTGTATCTCTTCTAAATAACAATAATGATTTCATGATATTCAATAAATAAATAAATCAGTCACATCACTGAATATGATACAGAATGTTAGAACACAGTGAAGTTCAACATATGAGATGACTGTTCAGACTCTTTAATTGTGTCAGATGATTAATCATTGAGTACAACACTCTGATCAGAAAAAGATTCAGATATTGAAACTTTCTGATATGAAGTGAACTCAGTTGAAATATATGATTGATTTACTGTTTCAGTTTTATAAGACAATAAAGACAGTCTCAATCACTTGTACATCAATGCTGCAGTCAGCCTGGTGAATATATAACAGTTTATTTACTCATCTTGAGAAGCAGTTGAATCACTCAAAAAGAAATTCAGTCTGAGATGATGTTATAGTGCAGACTATTATTGCTGCAAGGAATAAACTGGCATATTACTACAGCAAAATGAAACAATCTTTTGCAGAGTACTATGCTATAGCAGCTCTACTAGATCTCTTCTATTGAGTTAACATTTACACTTCTCAAGATTGAACAGAGAAGGAATAAGACTCATATGTCAAATTAGTCTGAGACTACTACAATGTCAACTATCAGAGATTTAAATGAGCAGATGTTTGAGATGTGAAGACAGTGAAATACAATTCTCTAGTAAGTAATGATCTTTGATAACACTTTATATCACATAGAACTATAATACTAACTTTGAAACAGAACTTACATACATTGATTGCAACTGAAAATCAGACAAAACTACATGCTTGTAAAACTGAACTTGACTGCTATCTTCAAGATAATCTGATGAATTTACATGTTAAATCAATTCTAGAGTTATGAAAAATTGTTGAGAGTATATATTCAACTGTTACACTGATGACATGTGATATTCTGACAATTCTATTGACAGAGATGAGAATGAAGTGAAAGTTCAACTTAAGTTGAGATATTTATCACTATCACTGAGAACAATTATAAGAAGAAACAATCAAGAAACTCATGATTATAAAACATGAAATTATCAGACAGTTTAATATCTCTGATCACAGTATATCAGAGAAGTGTAGTTTTCATGAGAAAGTGAAGAATAAACTTGCACAAGAATGTATTTAGTTGTTTCATGAGTATTATCAATAATTGTTATCAAATTCTGATTATATAAGCAATCACTGAATGAACTGAATGAGACTGATTTTGATCTTCAGTCTCAGTCTCATTCTGATTTTGAAAGAATGATTATCTTTCACAGTTTATCTTGGAAAATTACTCTCATTTCACTGTTCTTGAATTAAATCTGGTCATTTTTCACACCATTTCTCTCAGAAATGGTTCATTTTCAGATTTTTTTGAGGCTTGGTCCTGGTGGGACTCACGTCAAGAAATGTATGAGACCAGACCAAATGGGACCAAATGTAAAATTCATGGTCTCGCCGGCCAGTCTATTTCAGATCTGTCTGTGAAATTTCATCTTCTTTTCTCTTTTTTCATAACAGCTTTTATTCTCATAAACTGTGAGTATTCTCATTCATCTGTGAAGTGTTTTCATTCAGATGACAGAGAGAGAGTGTTTCTGACAATGTCTGTATATTGATTCAAGAACTTCTCAAGAATAAAAATTTTCAATTTCAACATCTTTGCAAATAATGTCTGATCACTGCTGAGCTTCTTGTGAGTATCTCTGTGACTTCTCTGATCACTTTTTACTGGCTGATGAAGCAGAGACACTGCTGTTCACAACTGTATCTCATCTCTTTCAGCTCTGTCACTGCACCTGATCTTGAGTCAGTGGCTCATCTCATCTCTTTCTCAGGCCAGTCTCTGACTTCAAGCAGCACAGTCTCTTTCTTTGCTGTAAGTCTTCTCATAAGTAATTCCTTACAGACTCTAGCTAATACTTCTTATAAAGCTTCTGATGTTGTCAGTGTCTTCTGCAGCTCTGTGAGCCTATAATCACCTCTCTTCTGCTCACACAATCTCTGACCAGGCATATGTGAATATATCTAGATTTTCTATCAATAATTCTCACACTGCAGCGCATTTTCACAATTTCATTGTCAATGAGAGATGAATCTCTGAGTACCTGCAAAATCTGAGTAATTAAGACAATGTGAATGTCATGAATTTATAACAGAAGTTGATCTGAGCAGATGAGCTCTCTCTCTGTATCTCAATTATTTTCAAGCTGAATACTTCAGTATAACTGAGGAAGCAGACTCAGCTTTATAAGAGATATCTGATCACACACACAGATGATCAGCTCTCAAGACTCTGTCACAACTATACATACTCTGATATCTGACTTCTCTGAAGTCTGTGCATTTCTGACAGTCTTCATATCAAATGCAACAATTGTCTGTATTATAAGTATAATACTCTCTGCTTCTTTGAAGAGAGAAATTGATAGTTGTGAGAAGATTAAATATTACAAATGTTGAGAATATGAGTTTGAGTTTTCTTTATTTTTTCTTTATTAATCTTCAAATTATGTTTATAGCTCTGTTTATTTTCTTGTTTTTTAGCTTTAATAAGAATATGATTTCTTCTTTTCTTATGTATACTGTAGACTGTTCATCTCAGTAGAAACTCATCATCTTATAGACTAGAGTTTATAAATAACAGTGTTAATATCTTTATCACAATCAGATTCTTAGTAAAGATTATATCATTCTGACTTATCAGAATTCATAGTATGAAAGTCATATCTCAGCTTCTACAGATATCTTATCTATCTGAATAATTCTCAAGTGAACTCATTCATCTTGTCAGAATATTCTTATCACTGAACCTTGAATCAGAGCTTATAATCTTACTTCTCTAAGTTAATAATCTCTTTAATCTGATATTCTCTTTCACTCTCTAATACTTTATGAATAGAGTGATGAGTCACAGAATTCTCTTCTGAGAATTTCTTATATTTATAAAGTAAAGAGATATAAAAAATATTATATATCTGTAACTTAGATAGCAGTTTCAATCTATAGAACTGTGAGCTAACTTTCTTCATAATCTTATAAGACTCTGTCTGTAAGAGATTCAGCTTCTTACTAGATCTCTATATAGTGATATTTTCTAAACTCAGTCAGACTCTATTATCTTTCTTAAAACTCTTTATAATATACTTAGAGTCATAGTATCTCTTCTAATACTCTTGAGTCTTTCTCAAGAATTTGTGAACTTTCTCTCAGATCTTCTAAATTC